TATAAAGAAATATAAATGACCATGGTAAAGTGTCGGTATCCAACCCGTGTCGAACATGGATACGCTACGCTAGTTGAGGTATTTGTGCAACACGTACCACTTGTACTTCACAATGTGTTGTGTATGTGACTCATATAGAGTGTAATATAGGTTGGAGAGAAGGGTGCGTAGCGCACCTGCCTTGCATGGGTTTAATTTACTATCTGGTTACCAGGGACGCTGAATAGGTTGGGGGTACAAAGGCAACGCCCCTTTGGTACAGTATAGGGGTATTTTCTTATACGGCCCTTAAAGTTTTGTATGGGCTTGGGCTAGGATTAATATAAATAATAATGTTGTTACCCTATTTTTATACTGAATAAAACTTTCTTCGCTACGTTCTTTTGGACGTAGGTACACCGTCGAACCACGTAAATTCTTATGTAGATTTTTCTTTTTCATCTCTTTATTATTGCACATAAAATCCAACACAATCATTGGCCTTTCCTCTCTAGATGCGTCAAAAATTGTCCAGAATTTACACGAACTCATCCTTAGAGTGTTAAAACTGCATTCAATAAAATAAAATTATCATTTTAAAATTCAAATACATGGCCTCTACTTATGATCTGTTCTACCTACTTCTTGTGGGTGACATTGATCCAAATGGAGGCCTTGAATTTGGAAAAAAGAGGGAGCAGATCACAACACAGGCACCTGACTGACTTTCAGGCAACAAAAGTATGTAAATGACAAAACAAAAGACCTAGCAACTAGATATGAGACTTGTACTATCCTATGAGGACCTCTTTGTCTTTCACGTTATTTTCTTGTCTTCTGGCCCATAATAATTTGTTCCTGCTTCTGTCTAGTATTATATTTTCGTTCTGATTAACATATTACGTACTTGACAAACTGCAGACTAGAGTTGCAGCAATTTTTGTATTCATATCGTTTTCTTCTATTCTGAGTATCGCTGGTGTGCCCGCACAGCTGAAAGAGATCAAGGTATGGGAATTCATAATTTTTTTCTTTGTTAAAACTTTTATTTGCTGCTAGCATGCTTCTTCGTAATAGCAGCGGTGTGCACGAATCTTTGAAGAGGCTTTTTGAGTATTTCATTATACCCTAGAAAAATTATATTCCTTTTAACTGTTAATTATTGGTGAAAAGTAGTTCTGTCTTCTGTTGATATACTAAAGCATAACTTGTGGTACTTGAATTTCATTTCTGAAATACTTCATAACATCTTTGATATTCATACACCACATGATATGTGAACTTTTTTCAAACACCGAAGTTATTGAGACCTCAAATGTAAGGCATAGTTCATGATTATCTGTTGTACCTAGATTGAGTTTTAATTGCATAAATGATTGTTGGACGCATGTGAATTGAAGAATATAGATGCTGAAATAATTTTCCTTGCTGTAACATTTTTTTATAGTTGCAATGTATACTGTAACCTAATGGATGATCTTGAAGCCTAGTACAATTTCTGGCAGAGCGATGTTTCAAGGAATTTACTTTTAACCTCTAAAGTTGTGAGAGCATCAAGCTTTCACAGCTAGATGTGAGGCTTTTACATGGGTCACATTTTGAGTTATTTTACACGTTAAAAGATTCAAAATTGCATCCAGAAAATGATGTCTCTGATTTACCTTCTGTTGATGCAAAACATAAATAGGCATAGTTCTTGTTTACTTAAGATTGGAAGCATATGACATCATTTATATGGAGGAGGAGGAGACGTATCGCAGTAATTGGCTAGATTAAAAGTGCTAGTATATTAGGCCTCTGTTTGGTATAGATTAAAATTGGATTTTAATCCCAAGTCAAAGTCAACAATTATTTAAACACACATTTCATGGGACCCACAATCTTTTGGCCACGCATTTCATCAACTTTTATCAAAATTTACTAAAAATCTAATTTTAATCTACACCAAACAGGGGCTAGGCAATATTTATTAGTTTTTCTTCCTTAATATTGTTACAAGCATGGCATTGAGCATCTTACTTCTAAGCAGTCAGAGCATTGCACTTGCATGATCCTTTTGTTATATTAATTCATTTTGAGTGGCTTTTTGTTTTGCAGATTTATGCATGTGAGCAATCAAACTGGCATTCTGGGACATTAGTCTTTTTACTTGGGCAACTTCTCTCCAGTATCCCATTTGTGTTTCTCATTTCCATCTCATCAAGTCTCGTCTTTTATTTCCTGGTTGGGCTGAGAGATCACTTCAGCTTGTTGATGTACTTTGTGCTCAATTTCTTTGCGTGTCTTCTAGTAAACGAGGGACTGGTCCTGGTCATTGCTTCCATTTGTCAAGACATCTTCTGGAGCATCTTAATATTGTTGAACGTACATGTAAAGTTTCATCCCACTTGATTGTTATATGAGGGAAAAAAAATAAAAAATAAAAAAATTATCTTAATATATAAAAATGTCTCAAAATTTTCGTGAGTATTATTATCTTACTATTTATTAAACTGTATCCATGTCTTTCGACTGGTAGCTTGTCTTGATTTTCCATTAATGTAATTGTATATAGTTATTTCAATGGAGTTAATATTGGTTTCCCTCTCAGGTGATAATGATGCTTTCGGCTGGGTATTTTAGAATACGAAGTGCTTTGCCCAAACCAGTATGGATGTACCCTGTATCTTATATTGCTTTCCACACTTATGCTGTCCAGGCAAGTTTGCTTCTACATTTATTATATTATAAACCTCACCAATTTTTCATTACCTGTAATACTTAAAATAATAATTGGAGATCCTCCAGGATTAAATTTTGCAAACGAGTACCTATATTTTTGCAGCTGGGTTCTCAACCTTTCAGCTTTTGGACGGAAACTGTCCGTTAAAGTGTCACGTGAAACACATGTATATTGATTTTATTGCTTTGAGAGATAAAATGGTTAAACACGAATAATTTTACTGAAAATAAATTAAAGACGTAAATAGCAAGAACAAAGAAAGAGAAAGATAAAGAAAAAAAGGCAAACCTGCATCTCCTCCTTGACCCCCACCTTGAGAGTGTTTATCTCCTCTTTCCTTTTTTATTTTTCTTTTGGCTGTTCTGCATCAAAATAGAAGAATAAGAAAAGGGAATAGTTTTTACCTTTTTTTGTTCTTTCCAATTGCCTATATATGGTCATTCGCTGTTTGGTTTATAATGGCTATGCATTCAAGTGATGGTGCATATCATTTCCTCCTTGTTAGTTCTGTTTGCAAATACCAGTATCTGTTATCAAGGATGTTAATACTGATTATCATCTGAATGAAGAAGTTTCTTTTGCTTCAGGGACTCTTGGAGAATGAGTACATTGGAACTTCCTTTGCAGTTGGCCAGGTAAGGACCATATCCGGTTATCAGGCTCTTCGAAATGTGTACGACATATCCCAGGACAGTAACGCCAGGTGGGAAAATTTACTAGTGTTGTTTCTGATGGCTGTTGGATACCGCATTCTTGTTTTTGTTCTGCTAAAATTTCGTGTCAGAAATACCATATCTGTGCGTGGATTTTTGCAGTGTAGTAAAAAAACTAAGAATCCAAGATAAATGATATACGCTCAGAAACTTTTGAACTGTAGTTTCTGCTGCTTTTTGCTATGATTAACAAAAAAATTTGAGCTTTTGTGGTCCATATTTGTCATTCTTCTCAGCAATTTTGTCTAAGATTAAAACAAATTTACCCAGTTGGTGCCTGGTTATTGTTTTAAAATTCTACAGGAGATGGTTGAGTTGGGTACTGAAGCAGCAAATACTGTGCCCTTAGGTTTTTAATCTACGAGTGATTATTTACCTCTATGTACATGTTGTCCTCGTGTTATAGTTTTCGTTATTGACCTTTAACTCTTTGAACACCTTGAAGATTTTATTCATGAGATATTAAACACTTCTCGAGAAGGCCCTATTGATGTTACAACGATACTAATTGTTGAAAACTTGTGAAAATAAAATAAAAGGTGCCCTTAGGTTTTTAATCTACGAGTGATTATTTACCTCTATGTACATGTTGTCCTCGTGTTATAGTTTTCGTTATTGACCTTCTTTAACTCTTTGAACACCTTGAAGATTTTATTCATGAGATATTAAACACTTCTCGAGAAGGCCCTATTGATGTTACAACGATACTAATTGTTGAAAACTTGTGAAAATAAAATAAAAACTTCCATCATATGTAATTTCTTTTTATGCAGAAACACATCAAATAATCTTAAAAAGGATAGATACAAGATCGACTAGCTGATAAAACTACATCTAAGACACAAAATGGAGAAGGAAAAAGAAATGAAAAAAGGAATTACTACTCTAATTGCTGATTATTGGAATACTCAATTTGCTATAGTTAATTGAATAATAAAATTGAATGATAACAGAATATTTCTAATCTTCTTAAAGAATGGAGGTAATCTTCTAATTTAAAAGATTTTTATCTACCATCTCATGAAAGGAAAAGAAAAACAAAAATAACCAATTTCTAGTAGGACTGGGAACAAAGTACGTAACAGTATTCTAAAGTACAAAATATAAGTGACACGTTGGACGGTCATTTTAACCATTTGTTTGGGAGGGATTATTTTTCCTGGAAAATAAATTTTTTTGGAAAACGTGTGGTTAAAAGGAGGAAAAATATATGGGTCCCATAATATGAGTGGTTGAAAATGATTTTGGGAAAATGTGATTTTTAAGAAATCTCTTCTTTAGTGTTTTGCAACAATGGGCCTACCCTTGTTTTGAATTTGAACTTTCAATTCTTGAATGAACTGATCCATATTCTTTTCTGATGATCCATCAGCTGCTACTGCTTGTTCTAGTGTCTTCTTTACTTCCTTGATGGCATGGCTTAACTCATCAGCTGATTTTCCAGTCATTAGATGCTTAATTTTCTTGGAAACTTCAACCCTTGTTACCGGCTTTCTTTCGCATAGATTAATCCCAATTTTCCAGTCATTAACCACTAATTTTCGATTAGTAAACTGATCAGTATTCAGAGGAAAACATAGCAATGGCACTTGACACCAAATGCTCTCCAATATTGAGTTCCAACCACAATGTGTCAAGAAACCCTGGATGGCCGGATGGGCCAACACTTGTATTTGACAGCACCAAGGCACGATCATTGCTCGATCACTGGTTTCCTCCTGCTGGAACCCATCTGGCAATGGATTTTTTTCGTCATTAGAAGTTACTGAATCAGGCCTTAGAACCCAAATGAAATTCACATTGCTTTGTAGAAGACCATGGGCTATTTCTTTGAGTTCATTATTTGAAATATCTGCATGGCCACCAAATGACACAAATAAAACTGAGCCATGTGGCTTGGAGTCTAGCCAGCTGGTGCAGTCTGACTCAGCCCAGAGACTGGTGGGGACAATACTCTTTGTGAACCTGGGTGGAAAGATGGGCCCCACTGCGAAGAACTTTAGTCTTTCTCGTAGGGCTGATATGGTCTTAGGTTCAAGTTCTTGCACTGTGTTGCAGAGCACATAATTTGCTTCTCTTACATCATCGAATGCACCAAAGAGAATTCGACGACAAGCTGTTGTTGTGTTCGTCTCTTGAAGATACGAGGCCAAATCTTTCGGTTCTAGTGAGTCGACGCCTGGGATGTAATTGATTGGATCCTCACGCAAATCTTCATAGAATACAGAATAGAAATAACGTATCAGATCAAAGTTTTCCATATCAGTTGATTGAAGATGTATAATTATCGCTATTATTTAGTACTTTGCAAAGTGATAAAACTGTTGAAGCTTAACTTTAAGAAAAATAAATGTGTCCCTTCAGGGCATCACTTCTTTGACGACGAATCCTAACTTGGTATGCAAATTCTAGAAAGCCATGTAAATGACAGCCTCTGACAAGCAAAAGCAGGAGTTTCCAATTTTATCATGGAACCATGCTCCAAGAAGAAAAATTTGTTCAATATTTGTGTGCACCAGAGAGAGAGAGACTAACCAATGCAACCAAAATGTCCATTTAACCTTAGAAGATGGAGATGATAATATAATGTAAAAATCAAAGCAGGTTCTGCCCAGAATGAAATGTAGAGAAGCCCATATTTCTTTGCCATTTTCCCCGGCCACACAAAGAATGTATCAGCAATCAAGCAACTCACTGCAGGTTCTGCACCTTTCACAATCTCTTCAACAGCCTCTTCAACATGTGCGGAGAAAACATGCAATAATGAAGCGTTGAACTTGTCACGATTGAGCGACCTGTTAAATTTTAATGGAAGGCCATCGGAGATGGTAGTGTAACGAATATCGAGGCCCATTTTCCGGGCTGCAGCAAAGATGTCTTCACCAGAATCTTTGGCGGTGCTCGTGATCTGGTGGTGTATTGATTTAGTGTTGATGAATGTAATGGTGAAGCCTCTTGATGCAAGCTTGATGGCTAGATGAACGGAAGGGATTACATGGCCTTGTAGTGGGTAGGTTACTAAGATTGCATGCGGATTATGAGCTGCATCAACCATTTCTTTGGGATTTATTTTTGGTAGGGTTGGATGGTGGAGGAGATGGTAGACAACGGTGTGAATAAAATATTTCTATTCTTTTGGTCGCGGTGGGTGGAGGAGGAGGAGGATCTGGTGGTGGTGGAAGAGGAGGTGGTAGAGGATTGTGATAATCTGTCTTTAGATGGAATAGGTCTAAATACAGTTTAGTCAAGCCATGGACAGGCGCAAGATTAGGAAATATTCAACTTAAACGGGGACTATATTTAGCTAACGGTCATGCTTTCAATTTAAACTCGACTATTTAAATTGAATAAAAAACTAGAAATTCTCCAAAGTTATATATATATATATTTTGAATGATCGTGAGTGTTCGGACCAGTTTAAGCGTACATCGACTTTCACGGGGTTTTGAGGTTTACAGTTTGGTACTCACTTCACTAACCTTGAGAGGACGTGAATATATATATATATATATTATTTTTTTTTTTTTGAATGATCGTAAGTGTTCGGACCAGCTTATGTGTACCTCGACTAATTTCATTTCACGGGATCTTGAGATTTACAGTTAGGTACTCACTTCACTGGCCTTGAGAGGATATGACTGAACTCATTGTATGAAAAATAATTTAATTAATAAAGCAACCACTTTTTATTTGTCGAATGAAGGCGAGCTCATTGTATGAAAAATTTGTACAAGTAAATAGAATTTTAATCACCCAAATTGCAAGAAAAATATCCTAAACTTTACCAAAAGCGTTAATTTTTACTCTCTGAACAATTCACAAATAGAGCGAGAAAAATCTGGTTGTTAGGTTGATAATTTTTCCTTACGAAAACTCTGATAACATTTAAAAAAAAAAAATAGCATTTCTGCCAATTAATTCCTTCCCGAACTAAATAATAACTCCAACTCAAATAGAATTTGGAACATGTCACGAGCCAAAGTATATATAATTAGATGTTACAGTTATGTTACATGTACATAATAGTTTACATAATGATTTGCACACATGATGTAGTGCGATATGATTGGGTTAGCACTTCTTCAACCAAATAAAAAAAATATTTATTTTCTTTTTTTTGACGTCTCGTCTGTATGTAAATTATTATGTAACTCTATTATGTACAAGTAGCATTATTTTAGATGTTATTTAGTACCACTCATATTAAAATACCAATCTAAATGTCATTAATGTGACGTTAAATGAAATGTATAATTAAATGAATCATTTAGCGTCATCTAGACTAGTGATAGATATCATTATTCATATAATTATGATCCAAAGAATTATCTCCTATTTGCAACACTAACATTCTTATTTTACCTCTTTGATACCAATCCACCCAGCACCACCTATTTTTCCAGCGGAAAGTCTAGCAAGCTAATCTTCACTTCTACCAAAGATAACCACCGGCACTTCTCATTGATTTTGATGAGCTGAGCACTTCACTATTGGCATCCGGACTCCGGGCATTGCATGGGCCGCAGGCGCAGTGTCTCTCATTTGTATCATTTTTAACGTATCTTTCGCTTTTATATTGAGTTGCCAGAGTTACTAGTTTGTTTTTGGTGGAGAATGGACTCCCGTCGGCGGCAGGATTTCCAGTGATCGAGAGGGTTTGGGTGGTGAAATGCATTTGTAAGGTGGGTAAGTCAT